GGGCAATCTACTTCTGTAGTGATACTGTCTCGGAAACCCAAGGAGGGGTCGCTATGAGTCGGGTCCGACTCGACAGCACATAACAACAACAACATATGAACATGATATAGGTCCTGTTCTTAACTAAAAGTAGTTATTCCAGCTCTACTAGAATAGAAGGTGCTCTAGTGGTATAGTACCTAAAGCATTTGACTACTAACCAGAAGGCTGGTGGTTCAAAGCCACTAGCCACTCCTTGGAAGGAAGGATGAGCAATCTACTTCCATAGTGATGCTGTTGTTGTTGTGATGTGCCGCCAAGTCGGCCCCGACTCATAGCGACCCCTCCTTGGGTTTCCAAGGCGGCATCACTACAACAGTAAGATTGCCCAACCCAAGGAGAGGTCGCTATGAGTCAGATCCAACTCAATGGCCGTGAGTTTGGTTTGGTTTGGTTTGGTACTAGAATAGAATAGGTAGTCTAGAATATAACTTTATCAGTTATCCCTCTGTAACTTCTTCAATCTCTCCCTCTCCACTGGCTTTTTTTTTTTTTTTTTCTGCCAACAAACAGATTCAAAGCCTCCTCCATTTTTAAAAGACCTTTGCTTGACCCTGATAATTTACTAAACTTTCCCCATTCCCCCACAACATTGAACTCCTCCAATGAGATACTTTCACTTTTACTTCCTCATCACTCATTGACTCTTGGTAGATTCACAAGGCCTTTGACACTAGACAAACTTTCTTTTCCTTAATCTCCTTCCCTGCCTTTCCACCCTATTTTCTCTCTCTCTCTCTCTCTCTCTCCCCACTCCCCATCTGTTAAACTCTTCAGGTCAACCTGTCCCCAGAAAACCTTTCTGTATTCTCCAAGGCCAGTATATGTTGTTGTTGTTGTTATGTACTGTCGAGTCAGACCCAACTCATAGCGACCCCTCCTTGGGTTTCCAAGGTGGTACCACTACGGAAGTAGATTGCTTCCTTTCAAGTATAAGTGACTTCTAAATGCTTCCATGTCACTTGGTGTTTACACATCACAATCCCTCACTATATCACAATTGCTTGTTTGTCTATTTTCTACCACCAATTTGTAAGCTCCTTAAGAGCAAAGAGTCTATCTTTTTTAAAATTTATTTAGCAATCACATATACAGCACTTGGAATATGCCAGGGACTTTTCTATGTGCTTTAAAAATAATTCTTTTATTTCTCATAACAACCCTATGAGTTAGGTACTATTATTACCCCATTTTATAGATGAGGAAATTGAGGCCTGGCATAGAAAAGTTAAGTAACTTGCCCAAGGTCACACAGTTAATAAGCAGTAGAGCTGAAATTCAAACCCAGGCAGTCTGGCTTCAGAGTCCATGCTCTTAACCTCTGTGCTATCTTAAAGATTATCTACTTAATATCTTAAACCCAGTGAAGTACCTATACCAAAAAATCAAACTCACTGCTATCGAGCTGATTCCAACTCATAGAGACCCCCTTTGGGTTTCCAAGACTATAAATCTTTACAGAAGCAGACTGCCTCATCTTTCTTCCACGGAGAAGCTGGTGGGTTTGATCACCAACCTTTTGGTTAGCAGCCAAATGCCTTAACCACTACACCACCAGCTCTTTAGTGAAGTACCTAGAAAACATTAAGTATTCAATAAATACACCTACTCCTCACTCATCCAATGTTTCGCATTTACAATAGTAAAAAAAAAAAAAAAAAAAAACTGACCATTTTGCTCATTAACAACATACATCTGGGAATAACAAACATCAGGTATGAAGCAAGAGTAATACTGACTGTGATGGTTAAGGTTATATGTCAACTTGGCTGGGCCATAATTCTCAGTGGTTTGGCAGTTATGTAATAATGTAATTTGGCAGTTTTATAATGATATAGTCATTCCCCATTTTGTGATCTGATGCAGTCACCTTTCATTTTCACAGAACACTGATTTTTGCATAACAACCTGGTCTTTGGAACCTAATCATGTTGATAAGTGAAGAATAGGTGTATTTCCTTGATCATTAGAATTAATCTTTATCACCTATACTCTGGGGGCACTTGGAGACTGAAGAAGAATGTAAAAAGGGCCTAAAAGTCCCAATAAGATCAGTCTGATGTTAATATCTCTCACCCTTTCAAACTGCTAAACAGTTCCTCGGTGACCTTGTGCACTTGCAGCACATCTTCTCGGATGAGGGTGATGTACAGGGAGCCCTGCAGGCACAGTTTCCAAAGCTTCTGGCACTGGCTATTGGAGTTGAGACAACCATGGCAAAGAAGAAACCCGACTGTAGATGGGGAAAACAGTGCAGAGAAAGACTTTTAGAACATGTTCTCTATGCAGTGCTGCTACATCCATTCCCAACCAATTCCACAAAACTTACTGATAATCCAGCGCTCCATCACTTCCATAGACAGGTACTCACAAGCCATCTGTGATAAGAGAGGAAGAGATTGTCAAGCAGTTATTTAACTTAGTCCTCCCCTAAAAGAGAAAAGTAACAAGAGCAGTCAAGCTAGAATCCAAGTACCAAAACCAACTGTTACTTTACCAGACCAGGTTTACAGTACTTTGATAAGCTAATAGCTGGGAAACCTACCAATAGTGGAGGTGAGGCCCTGGGAGTGGAGTAAGGAAAAAGTAATATGGATGAGAAAATGAAAAGGAGTTTGGACTACCAGTCAAGACAAACAAAAGATTCAACATAGCTTCTCTTCAACAGCTCAGATACTTTTAATAATAGGAGAGCAAGACCTGATGAAACTGTCTCAATATTTCTCTCCTTTTTTGGATTATTTTAGGAGCCCTGGAGGTACAGTAGTTAAAAAGTTTGGCTGCTAATCAAAAGGCAGATGGTTTGAACCCACTGGCTACACAGGGGGGAAAAGATGTGGCAGTTTGCTTCCCTAAAGATTTCAGCCTTGGAAACCCTATGGACAGTTCTACTCTGTCCTAGAGGGTCACTACAAGTTGGAATTGATTCCACTGCAATAGGTGTGTTTTTAGGTTTTGGTTGAATTATTGTACTACTTTAAGTGCAAATCACTCATTTGGCACTTATCACTCATCTTGCAGCATCAGCTGTATTTTTATGACTATGTGACCTATCTTCCCTAGACTATAATTCTTTGCAGAGAAGACTTTGGGCCATGGTAGTGGAATAAAAAATATTTGTTAATTGATCGACTCCTAAATTCAAGTTCCTGCTGGTCTAAATAAGTGCTTAACGACAGTTTCTCTACCATTTATTCAACTATTCTTTCATTCCATGAATATTTACTAAATTCCTTCTATAGGCAAGCACACACTAATCCTGGTCCCAAAAAAAGCTTCAGCCTAACCATAACTTTTTAGCTATAAGAGATAATCAACTTAGAAGTATATTCTAGAAAAGAGCTAAAGCATTTTTAGGGCTGATATTTTCTGAAAGCAGCACTCTACAGAGATGGCCTTGGGAAAGGAATGCCTCCACTAAAAAAGGAAAGGGGAACTCACTGTGTCTGAACTGGCAGGGTTAATCATGGCTGGAGGGGTGCTGATGACACTTAGAAGCTGAGCACTACGCCACTGCTCCGCCCCCTGATTCCTTCGGACAAAGAGGATATACAAAGAGAGGAGAGCCCCACTCACAGCCTGTGGGGAAAAAGAAAGAAATTCTTCATGACAATGATAGGGACAATATACTCTTTTTTTTTTTTTTTTAATTTTTTTTTTT